TTGTAATATACGACCTCACAGAAGACTGTCTGAAGATCTGGTAGCTGAAATGGCTGGGACCCACATTCTTTAGATTGGAAAAACGTCTGTAGCCTCTTAGGTTTAGTAGATTTCCATGGCATTAACATCAGAAAAACTTGCCACCTACAAACTTTTCTCATAAAGAAGAAAACAATAAACATTTGTCACAATAATAAACGCCCTATATACTATGACAGGTTCATCAGCTGACACGCTTGGTGAAAGGTCATTCACCCTTGCTGTAGCAATTTCTGTTTACTATAAAGTCAGTTTTAGTAAGTTTGTTATAATGATTTTGCATTTATTCAATCGTTTTTCATCTTATAAAACGACTCCCGCTCTTTGTAACGAGACTTAGAAAATGAAAATGGTAGACAGAAAGTATACCCAGACTCATAGGAACTATTTGTGGAGCAAACAGATTTGCCCCTGTGAATCAAACCCACAACCTAGCACACTAATGCCTATGAAAAGGCGACTACATACACCGTTGAGCCATCCATGCATTAGATTTTACACTTTATAAAATCAGTAATTTAGAGTCTTTGCCTACCTTAATATTGATTCTAGCTAGTGGATATGATGAAGAAATGAGAACTAGAAGAGAGTCTATGACATTATGACATATGAAATATAGCCTGGGTTTAGTTAATGTTTAAATAGTTAAAAGGACTTCAGACCTTTCACATTGATTGAGAAGATCAGTACATAGGTTTAAACTACTCACCAGAGCAACAAGGTAGCTCGGAACAACATTTAGGAACTTAAGAATGCCTCAGTGTCAGCACTGTTATTGCGTACAGTTTGTATCTGTCTAACCAACCTAACCTACCCTATCAACTCCACCCAAATTGCTCCAAAGTTACACTGACAAAACAAACTCAATAGTATCAATAATAAATTCACTCGACACGGGACAAAACTTTATATGATGTGTGAAAATAGAATCAATCGATTATATACTCAAACCTAATTAGTGAAATACGTAACGTATTTACGGGACAAAGGAATGGTGGGGCTGGGAGATAATGAGAAATTGACACAAAGTAAACACAATTAGCAACGAAAGTTCCGTCGTAAGCAGCGAATGTATCAAACTGTTGTCAAATTGAGATAAATCATTAATTAATGACATAGTTTGTGTGAGACAATACCAGATTACAATAATGTGAATATTGTTGTTATTTCTGCGTACCGCATTATAGGTACCCGTTATGGGCCGACTAAAATCTTAATGATCCACTTGAAAAACATCGCTGTTTATACAGGGAGATTTTTTGAGAAGTGCCCAAATTTGCACAGGAGGTTCAGACTCGGTAGTATAACCGTTTATTGAAATAAAAAACAAAGTTTTTTCCAAAAAAAAATGCCATTCTATTCCCTAAAAAACAGAACATGTTGACAATGCAGTAGTCATTCATAAATACCTAAATTTTACTGTGCACGAACTTGTTGCGTGTTAGTTATGAATGAATGCGTGTAAAATGAATGAGTTGCGTATAAATCACGCACTTTTTGAGATAAGTTGAAATGAATGTAATCAATTACTTACGAGTGATTTTAAATATTTATAATTTTTATATAACATTATTTATGTCTAGAATTTAATAAAAAAATGGATACACTTAGAAAAGATCGTGCACGTGTTCGGCCTGTTATTTGATTGCCGCCGCGTGGATATTTGCAATACGAGCGCGGCTGCAGATCGGTTACCAATCATTTAAAATAGTGGCCCTCGGCTACACCACTCACCAGTCGAAGAGCAAAAATATAACGCTTCCAATTCAAGTCGGTCTCTTATAAGGATCCCAATTTTCAAAAGGTTTAACTCATCTGCAACCCTCGGGTGTAGCAGATGCCCATGGGCGGCGGTATTCACTTAACATCAGCGCAAACCACAAAAATATCCTTAAAGGTCACACACAAAAGTCAACTGGGATTCGGGAGATTTTTTTTTTAATTTTGTAGAATGAATTATTTGAGGCGTTTGACGCTTGACATGATTAAATAATTTTCTACAACTACGACCCGAATGGCGTACTTATATTGTATTAGTGTACTTGCTTCCTGCGCTAGAGGGTGTGGGTTCGATCCCCACTACTGGAAAAATATTGTAAGATAGTTATAGTGTTTTTACAATGTATGGGTCTTAGTTTGGGACTAGAGAACGTTGTGTAAAAATGTTTTCCAAAATATTTATTTACTTATACGAAAGTTCACCATCAGATTAGCCGCTAACATTGGAAAGAAAACAAAATCAGGAATTTACAATGACAACATACAGATAGTATAAATTTAAAGCATTAAGACATAGTTTCAATTTTAATATGTAATTGAATTCAAAATTCTTCAGCGAAAGATTTTTCTAATTCGCATAAAAAAATGCGAGAATTTTTTTAAATTATTTCAGCTTGACTTCTACTTGGTCCTTCTAAGTTTTTAAATGTAACTATTGCAGTTAATTCGAGCTAACATGTCGCACAAAATATGAGTACAGAAAAGAATCGGTTTTATGAAACAAAGTATTATTTATCTTGAAATAAAACCTACTTTAGTAAAATTAATTTAAATTAGCTGTACCTCGGAGACATGCAAATACAGAGCTAGAATCATTTATCATGGTCATTAATGTACTTTTTGTTTTATAAAAATACTCTTATAAAATTTGTTTCCATATTATGTCCATCCAAAGGTTGCCTGGAAGAAATTGCTTTAAGTAATAAGCCCGCCCATTGTACAACCCTTACGTAATTGTTATTTTTAATGTATTCTTTTTTACCATGTTGTGTGCAATAAGGAATTCATTCATTCATTCATTCATTAATGCTTTCCTGCACATTAAAATATAAACCTTTCAAATGCAAACTCTTTAATATTTATTTGTTCTATTGCTTCAAATTTCTTTTAGATATATACTTTTGTCTTAAAACTTGGTCGTAAATCCAGACTAGTATTATATACCATTAATCTTAAGCAGAACTTTATAAATAAAAAAATATCAAGCATCTCCGATACGGATTCTTAAATAAATGAAAACAAATAACGCTTACACATACTCAATCGACGGAATAATCAATTGAAAGTTATATTTAAATGTGAAATGTTCATATTACCTTGAATTGCAAGTCCAACCTGAAACTAAACCGCCACCGCTTGTAAACCACAAAAAATACCTTACTCGTGTCAAGTTTATTGGAGAATAAATAATTAAAGTAATAGACATTTAATGCACCCGCCCCAACTATTAGCTCCATTGTGTTTGAGCCAAACACGGGTGTCACATTCATAATCCAATTTCGCTTAGAACAGCTTAACTTGACCAGTTTGCACTTCACTTAGGGAACCACCAACGCACGTAAATAAGGTTTTAGGTAGTTGTCAGTGATATCGTTACGGTTTTATTACGACTTCTCGACAACTTGTTCCTACGCGGGTTACTTCTCACCACCTGAGTCCTGATCTGTAGAGGAAATCGTTCGCGTTACACAATTTATATCAACACAAAAGGAGCTCACGATATGCGAAATTCGACTCCCACTGTTCCATTATGGACCTCAATCGAAGTGGTAAAGTGACACACACTTAACTACAGAGATTATCCATAGACTTGCTTGGGTCACAACCTCATTATCTTGTAACACGATCGGAGGTAATATAAAAGCTTAATTTTTGACAATATATTTCATTAATTTTATCGGAAAATTTGTATCGTTTTGACATTTCTACTTAGTTTTGGCCGAAGCACACCGCTTCTACCAAAAGTGAGTAAATTCAATTACTGTTTTCAATTTAGAAAGAAAACTCACTTTGCCACCCCGTTTTTACTTTGAAGCTTAAATTTGTTTTATAGTATAAAAACTGAAGTTGCTTATCCCGTACTTGCCAAGGCGAATGAGAAAGGTGCAAAAGATCCCAGCGATTTCGATTGAATTCGTACGGAGAGAGCTTAATACCTTATAATAATATTATTACACCTTAATTATACCGTATATAATATGTTAGTCGTAAAGAAGTTATAAAATATAATAAAGTTATTATTTTTATTAAGTATGAAAGCGAAACTCTGGACCTATATAAGTAGACAGTTCTATTAAATTTGTTTCTTCTTAAAAGATGCAGATTAGCAATACCGTCTAATCCTATTGATTTATTGGTCAATTTACTGGTGTAGAAAGTCAAACACGAAAAAGCAATAAGTTGCACTGATATTAAGAATTGAAAATTTATTGCATAGTCCTCCAGAGATTGGCAGGACGACTTGCTCTAATATATTGAAATGAAAGCGGGTACCTGGACACTGAGCTACCACGACTCTTACACCTTACCTTACTCATTAAGTCCTAACTTTATAATCAAAACAAATTAAACAAATACAATCGATGTTAGCACATGTACTTGGTAACGTTAACAAACAATTTCTTAAGCTATTTTACTTCTATCACAACCCTTAATATAATAAACCCCGCGATTACAAACATACGGATTTCGAGGTAGTATTGCGATTTAGAAGACACTGTTTAACGTCATGTTAAATATTTGTAAATATTTTGACTGGACCATCGCTGTAGAAACAACTGTGCGAATGACAATCAATTATTATGATAAATGATGATTACTGATTTGTTACAATAATTAATTAGAAATCATTAATAATTATCTCCCCTTAATAAGATGTTGCAGCTTGTTAGGCCAACAACTTGTTTTGTTCCCACCCTCCACATCAAATAATGTAACATTTCGAATTAACTATTATGTATTATGCAGTACCTGATGACAAATTAACAAATACATATTTTATATTATACAGAAAACATTTATAATGGTTCACATTCGCCTATAAATCTTACGTACACGCTAAAATCCAATTGCAATTATATTTATTTAATAATCACACTACATCTTATTTGTCACACTCGCGCTATATTTTCAACCGTAATTGTCATAACAGGCCTGATCTGTCTAATGTCATTCTAATGTCATAAGAGGCTCAATCTGACACGCGAGTCAGCCGGGTGGAGGGCGAGAGGGGAGCGCGGGTCAGCTTCGAAGGGTTCTGTACGTGGCTTGAAGGCGCCCACGCCCAGCGCTGGGCTAATCTTGAAGTGCTGCAAGACTTTCACTAGACAACACTTCATCTGGATCATGGCGAAACGTTTACCTGAAACCAAAAGTATAACGGAATGAGGTTTTAAAAAGTGAGTTGAATTGATTCGAAAATGGCGTCTCGCTGCCGAACAAAGATATTTTTGTAATTTTTTCGAAAAGACTTTTCCCAGTATTTTAGGATTATGGTGGTAGGGCCACGCAACACTGTTGCACGAATGGGCAGGTCCGTCCGGGTAAGTACCACAACCTCACAGAAGACCGGCGTAAAGTAGAAGTGTTACATTTGTGCGTTTCGTTTGGTGAGTGAGGTAGCCGGGGCCCACTTTATTTAAAAGTGGCAACGCATTTGCAACCCTACGGGTGCTACTAATGTCCATGGGCGGTGATTGTCACTTAATACAGGTGAACCGCCAGTTTGTTTGCTACTTTCTCACATAAAAAAATAAATAACACCTGTGTTGAACGGACGTTTTATATACAAAAATTTCACTTGAACAAACATCCAGACCAACAATTATATATGGGCGCGTCAATAATATATAGAGAATTTTAAGGTATTTTTATAAGATTCTTTGTAAGATCGTTTATATAATACGTCGGAATTAAATATAACTACTTTATACACCTTCTGTCCCAAGAGTCTCTTGGTTATAAAAAGTTAATTGTTCTCGCCTCTTATTGGTCTTGGTGGGTTGTGTGACATTTGTTTCTAGAATGAACTATCTTATATAATCAATAAATGAAATCAAAACGGAAAAACTGAAAACATATCAATTGCAAATTGTCTGAGACTCTTTTTGTTTATGAAACGGACTTCGAACTTATTTTTCTAGGAATGCTTTGATTTTTAACTAAGAGCTCTTGAACATACGTTGCCTACTTAACATTATATTTGAACAAATATTACCTATGGTTAAAAGATTAACATGTCATCACCTTCCGCCCATGATACTCAAATAACATAACTCAAATTGCATTTTCACATGCAGTTTGTAATGGGCACAACACAGTATCATATTTATCAGGAGAATTCATACCACACTGTACCGCAGAACTGACAGTATCTTGTAATTCTCATAATATACGTATTATTAAATGATACTATTTTAAATATTTTATCGTGTTTTAATCTTGATATTAATTTTTGTTACGTTTGGAACCCTTTCCAGCGTTCATAGTCACGGGACAGATATGTTTAATATTCGCGTAAAATCATAAAATTAATATGTTAATGAACTAAATGATAACATTTTAAATAAAACAATGAAGCCGTTTATTTGGTCCAATAATATAGTGAATGGAGGACTTCAGTTATCTGTGTTCTTATGGTGACGATTTATCATTTTCAGAATAACTTGATTTAACGTTGCATGCCCCTGAGATTAGGACCACGACCGTCGATGGAAAGGCATCATATTAATTATGAGAAGTAATTCCGATGAACTAAAATAGAGATTAAAATACATTGCCTCAGCTCTTTACTACGATAGGGCAACACAGCGGCCGGCTTCTGGACCACAGCCTCACAGAAAAACGACGTGATGACTTGGTACGAGTAATTGTATTTTTTTATGTGAAAAGGTAGCAAACGAGCTGGTGGTTCATCTGATGTAAATGATAACCGCCGCCCATTGACATTTGCCATATCCGTAGGGTTGCAAATGCGTTGCTACCTTTTCATAAATTGGTCCCCGGCTACCTCACTCACCAGACGAAACGCAGAAGTATAATACTTCCACTTCACGCCGGTCTCCTGAGAGGTCGTGGTACTTCCCCGGACGGACCTGCCCATTGGTGCAACAGCGAGAACAGTTGCGTGGTCCTACCACAGTTAAATTAAACATAGTTTTGAAAATATTTGTATTGTACAGAGCGATTCAAACAAACTAACACGCAACACGCATAAACTCAAGTGGAACAAACCTTTCTGTTCGCAAGTTCTCGAAACAATAAGTAACATAATTCTTAAGTAACGGGAGACTGATTATGGCACACCGAATTCCGCTTAAGCGACATTGCTTATCGCCACGTCGCTGTGGTTCCCTATCGAATGTGTGGTCCATACTTCACTGGAAGGGCGGTATTTTCGTCGTTTAAATAAATCAGTGTTCTCTTCACTCACAAAGCATCTGTATATGACTGTACATAGGTAAACTCAGCCGTATTACTAGTGTTCTATCTTTATATTAGTTCGGAACACGCGCACGTGACAATAAAAAGGTTACTTTTATAGCGCTGTTATTTGAAATTAATAACTTTCAACCGAACGATCCCCAATTGGCGAATTCAGCGTTGCCGAATGACGTCTTTAATAAAATATATCATATACTAACAATATTAACTTATTCAAGTCACATTTACCCTATGAAAGTTTAACCTACCCTATGAAGTCAATTTTATATTTTATCAAAATACATAATGTGTGTGGTATGTATACGTCATAATTATTTCTTTTCTAAGCGTGTTTTTCAGTATACAGATTTTGTTCGAACTTGCTTGTAAAAAACTGTAAGGAAATTGTAAGCAAATACCTAATATTTATTAATATTACAAAGTGATACGATATCCTTGTTTATAAAACTCGAAAATGTTGAACAAAATATAATTGCCACACAAACATTGACTTTCAATTATATCAGTATAAAAGATTCGCTATGTTAAATGAACTTTATTTGACTATTCATTATTTACATTCGTCTGATTAAATTAACGAAAATTTGACGATGGAGGAAGGAAGATAAAACAATTAATTTAAAATTTGTATGGAAAGATCTTATATGCCATAAAAATTATAGTGCTAACTGTATTACTCTTTTATGTTTTTGTACTCTTATATGTTAAAGAAAAGATAGCAACCCTCGAGCTAACGGTTCCCCTGACAGTAAGTAGAAACTTGTAAAACCTTCTTTTATTGTGAATTTTTATTTTTACTCATACATGTATGCATGAAGAGTTCACTTTAAAGTAATTGTTGTGCTTAAATGCTACGTATTTTCTATGTTATGTGGTACCTCCTCAATTTAACATTTGCTTTGTGGTTGCAAAGTAAATATTAAAAGATGTTCAAAGTATTTACATGCTTTAAAAGTTGTTTCCGTTTACCTCAATCACAGCTCGAAACGCAATAGTATTACCACTTATTAGTACTCAAGTAAGCGAAGGAAATTGTTAATTACAACAAAAGTGCTGACTTATCACGTGCTCAGCGAAGAAGGAACAACATCGTGAAACCTATGTATTTACGAAATAATAACAAACAATAATTCGAAGATATGTGAAGAATGCCGATACGCAGTGGGATCGTGTGGTGGACTATGCCCTAATACTTCTCTACAGAGGTGGCCTTTGCCGAGCAGTGGGACAGATACAGGCTGTTTCTTTTTACTTTTAGTAGTGTAATGTAGCGTTGTGTAATAGCTTAAGTAGTAGTGTAATAGCTGGTAGTGAAGTGTCACAACCTCACAGAAGACCGACGATAATTGTCGTCGTCGTCTCTCGATAACTAAATCATTTATTGTACCAGTAGTTACCGCTTCGTAGCTGTATATCAGAAAGCATAGCTCATACTGGTGTGAAGCACTTACCAATGCAGTAACGGGGGCCGTCACCGAATGGCATGTAGACACCAGGCGCTGGTACAGGCTGGTCGTCCGCCCACCGCTCTGGCACGAACGCGGACGCGTTCTCGAAATACTGCAATTATTATCAAAGTAGTTATTTCTTTATTTTCCAGACTTTTCGTCTATCGATTGGCGCTTAAGATTCGACATTAGCCAGCGTATCAGTTCACCTTCTTTGTTTTTGGGAGGGATATCTGTTAGTGATTTTACTTTGGTATTTACGCAACAGCTTCTGCTGTGGCGTGAATAGGCAATCTCGTCTGGAAAAGTTCCTAGACCTCACAATAAGCCTGCGCGAAGTGTAGTAATACTTTCGAGTTTCGTCTTGTGAGTTATGTAACTGGAGCCTATTATTTTTAAGGGTCGTCAACGCATCTGTTTTACATTTTAAATAAATAACTTACTTATCAAAATTACAATTATTCCACTGTCTCCTATATATCCGTGTACAACCACAAAGCGTTGTCCCAGACGTGTTTAGGGTTAAAATTATATCTTTGAAATGGAGGCGACGTTAGCTACCTCCCGTCCACCCTAAAGCCTTGTTGGATACTTTTTATTTTGCATTTTCAAATTCAAATTCAAATGAAAGAATTTAATGAAACTTAGTGAAAAGTCACATAGTAGTATCAATTTACAAGTGAATGTATTTCGATAATGAGTAATCGAGTAGTGTTAGCCACTACTCCATGTGACCTTAAGGCCTCGGATTCGAATCTTACTGAAGCCCGTTTCACACAATATCCTTACAAAAATCACAGTCATATTTGCCGTGCACATGTGTCTGTATTGTCTTGCATTGTGATTACCACGTCTGCTCTCACCCTTCGCACAGCTGAGAGACTAATCACGAAAGGAACAAGAAAGGGTATCACCTGCTCGTCCCTTTGAATGCCGAGCGTGGGGAAGAGGACTATTGTGCCCTTCTCCACGACTGTACTCGTGCCGGGTATTGTGTAGTCCTTTGTACACATCCGCTGGATGCTGGGGAACGGCGGGTACAGGCGTAGGGTCTCTGGAAGGCGTACGGCGCTCATTAAGGGCACAGACATCGATTGGGATGTGCATTGTCTCTACTTTCATACAAGCCTTTTGCATTGTTAGTATTGGTTAGTACATTTCTCTTAACAAAGAACCAAACCGAATTCAGTACATTTATGTGCATTTTACAAATGATTTTAGGTTCGTTGATAGTCCAAGGCGGAACTAGCACCAGTGTTACGGACAGTTCAAAAAATATACTCCTAAAACCCACTAAAATCCACTAAAATTCACCGGAAGAGAACTCCTTTTAGGGTTAACCCTAAAAGGAGTTCTCTTTTGTTTGAGTGCTCGCATTTGTACTCCATTGGTACGCCATTATTATTTTAAAAATATTTAAATGATCCACCAAAAATATGTGTCAGATAGACAAAATACTTAAACAATAATAGCCATCTTTGCCCTTCAAATGCCTATACAATTTATATTTTTAGGACTCGTAGCTCTTATTGATTAGAACTTGACTTTTGGATATAGTTTGGAATAAGTTAAAACTGCATTTAGTAACAAACATTCCATTTTTTTTTTTAAATTAAGTGTCTCGTGTCAACTTTTATTACAGTACTAACTGTGCGCGCGACTTCGTCCGCGTGGAATTTTAAATAAAAAATATCTAAAATAAAAGTAGCCTAAGTTACTCCTTATTACATCAGCTATCTGCCAGTGAAAGTCTGTCCAGCCACTTCATAGATTAGCCGGAACAAACAGACAGACAGACAGACAAAAATTGTAAAAAAAATATTTTGGAATATATACCGAGTATACATCCATATGCATTTAGTAAAAAGCGGTTATTTTAATATTACAAAAAGACTCTTCTATTTTATTTATCTGTATAGATACTAGCTGACCCGGCAAACGTTGTTTTGTCATATAAATTATTTCAAGGGTAGAAAAACAAATATAGATGTAAACCTATTCTCATACCTACTGAATATACATATAAAATTTCATCAAAATCAGTCAAGCCGTTTCGGAAGAGTAAAGACACTACAACTGTGACACAAAAATCTTATATATCAGATTAGTATTAATTCATAACTGTGTGTAAGCGCCTGACATAATAAAATAGCATAATGTTTTGGCTTTATTCAATAACTATTCCTAAAGGAGTTTTTTCTTCATTAGCAGCGGTAAACTATTAATATTTATTAAATACAAAATTAAGATAAGAGTCAAAAAATGCTCAAAACGTTAAAAGTTACTGGCAATACTGATATTGTAGTATCAATATGTAGTTGAATCAGATGTAGTTGGTCACAAAATTTATGAATAAGGTTCATCTCAGCTATAATAATATAACGCGGGAATCGAACTCACAACTTCCGGATTGGCGCCCAGACGAAGCTATGCTTCTCTTGTCGCGTTTGGAAAAATTATGAAGTTAAAATTTTTACGATGCTTGGTAAACAAATTTAATCTTGGCAACCAATAACAACTTTTCGACATTTACCAATAATTCCAAGTTATCCAAATAAACCGTTATCAAGTGCATTTAATGTGTTTGCGCTAAAGAAGCATAACATCTTGCGTGCGAACATAAATACATACATACTTTTTCTATCTACCTGAAGGTAAATGAAGCTTTGCTATTGAATCTTTCGAGATGGCGCTTTAAATTTTATGAATTCATTCCTTACCTCGCTTTGCTAGTTCTTTAAGTTCCCTCTTTCTATTATGAGAAGCCCAACACTATATAAAGTTATTCAATAAAAAGAAGCCGTCAAGTAACCGTTGATGTACGTTCCATCCTTTTTATTATTGCTACTTTTATTGATTTACATTTGTGTACTTATGTTTTACTAGCGACCCGCCCCGGCTTCGCACGGGTGCAATGTATTATACATATAAACCATCCTCTTGAATTACTCACTATATAGTAAAAAAACCGCAACAATATCCGTTGCGTAGTTTTATACATCTAAGTATACATAGGGACAGACAGACAGCGCGATGACTTTGTTTTATACTATGTAGTGATACTTATATTTTATTCTTAAAATTGACTTCAATATATGCTAGCATAATAAACGTTGAAGAATAACAACATTATGTGCATTACCTTGTATAGCCATTTCCATGTAAGTCAGCTCTTGGAGCACTTCATACGTCATCCTTCCATCACGTTTACTCAGCACCTCCATTATCTCCCTCCTCATCCTCTCCTGGACTTCTTGATGCGCAGCCAGCTCCAGGAATAGGAAGGCGAGCGTCGAGGAGGTGGTTTCGAAGCCCCCGAGGAAGATGATGAATGCGTTCGCTGATATCACCATGTCCGCTGCAAGAGTTTAAACTTAAATTATTCATTTATTTATACCAGTGGTCACCTAGTGGTCGAAATTAATTATAGAATTAATGTATTTTTATGCATAAATTAAAAAAAAACTATTAGCATTCTGCACTACCGTATATAAAATATAAGTGTGGGAAATTGCATACGTCTCCGTTCGTGCAATTTTCGCAAAAAGTTTTTTCTTCATTAATTAATATAGATACAAACAGTGCAACAAACAACTCTAAATATTTAGTAGACTTGAATTTGTCTAAGCTAGGATAGCTTGGTAAAAACAAGAATCAACTTCGCTTATTCAAACGACGCTCACTCATTCATTATCCTTATCGATCCTTCCAAGGAAGAGAAGATACGGACGGTTGCTATTGTGCTATTGTAGTAATTTGTAAACTTATTTTCTTATAACAAATAAAACACATGAAATTCTGTCAAAGACTTGACAAAAAAAAACTACCTACGATTTTTTATCTCTTTTTATATTTATCTCTTTAACCGAAATAGGAATGACAAAGCCTAGTCTAATACAAGACTTCATTACGATTTTCCAACTACGAAGCCAATGAAAATCTTCTCAAAAATCAGTAAATGAACCGTATGCTGACTAACGCTAACTAACTCCTCACGTGATAATTACAGATTACCTCACCATGCTTCCCTCACATCGGAACACGTAATAAAAAATAATAATAAAGAAACAATAAAAAGAAAGGGCAATGACATTTCGCAAAGACATTAATAATCCGACTCCGTTTGCACCGCGTAATTTTTTATTCCATTTGAGAGCCGGCGTAATTGCGAATGACAACGTCACGAACAAATGTACAACGAGTATTATTCTCAAAGGGAAACGTACTAAAAAGCAGCACTGAGATCATCAAAGGGCATGCAATATACTACGAATTTTTTTACCAGAAACCGACTTTTAACATGCCAATCTGAGAATGGTAAACCGTGAACATCTGCTAGCTAATTTTTGAAATTGCAAAAAACTTACGATACGTGAATTACATGAAATGGGACATTCGTGCTCTTTAGAGTAAGGACGTTATTTCAATGGCCCGGGATCGTACCTAGGAAAGACCGCTCGGTGAGACTGCGGCGTGATTAACAAGAACGCGAAAATTACATCTCGACAGCGCTTGCGAAGATGAAAGAAATTTCGCCTTTAAACAGGGTTGATTTTTAGACGAAGTACATACTTTGACATAATGTTAATTGAGCATTCCATAACCCAAAAAAGACGTATTTTGACATGAAATAACTATAAAAATGTCAATTCCAATATTGTTTGTTTTTACCGTTAAGAGTTCGCAGTCTGTTGGTACGCATGAAGTAAAATTAAAGGAAGGCCACTGAGACGAGATAATTTCAGACATTGAACTTGATACAAATGCAATGGCAACAAATCAAACAGCGAACACCAACGGCACAGACGGTAAGGCAGGAATTTCTATCCTCCATAATGTTTTTAAAAAATTTAAATAATCTTTGAAATAAAATAAATGAGGTCACAAGTACGTACCAGATTCAGATTTAGAATCAAATTTTGCATATGCTTTGTTAATATGTTCGTCGTCTATAAAATCACTCTGTATATAAAATCGTTGGTGCATGGTTTAGAGTACCCTGGTCGTGTACTTAACACTGGATCGATTGTGGTCATAACCTTTTATGTTAACAGTTGGCTAGCAAGCGGTTCACCTTATGTTAAGTGATTACCGCCGCCCATGGACATCTACGACACCTGACGGATTGGAGATGCGTTGCCGACATTAAAAATGTGAAACTTTCGGGCGTTTCGAGACGACTCGCGAAGTTAATTAATGAATGTTTATTTAGTTTCAACAAACACAGTTATGTTAACAATTAAAAGAGCTTAACAAAGGCGTAAAACCTAATAGGCATGAAACCAATAACCAATACATACTTCCACTTCACGCTGATCTTCTGTAAGGCTATGCATTCGTGCAACAGTCTAAGCTGCTGCTTGACTCTACCACAGTATGATTGAAAATTAAATTGGATTTGTATTAGTGGCAACAGCAAGTGGTCATAGCAAGATCCATAGAAGATACTAGAGGGAAAAAAGCTTATATAACACAGGCGCCGGGAAAGAAATACACAATCAAATGTTATTGCACGTACATAATGATTATTAAGTAACTTTGTAAATAATACCATAACATTAGGGGTGCCACAACGCCATAGAAGATATTATTGCTTACATTTAATAAAAAAATCTCAGTACCTATCAATCAAGTGTAATCGACGAATCCAATTTCATAAATATTAATCAATCAAATATGTTTAAGAAGCTCTTATGAATTACATTCATTAATTCTTTCATAAATAAAATAATCATGAATGATGCGTAAATTAATAAGTATTAAATGTTATGTAAAGGTTCTAAAATTCATGTAAGGTTATTCATTGAACGTTGTTGAACACAAAAAAGGCCAATATCCATCCCTTACGTAATATGACCTAGTTCATTTTCAAAAACATCGATACCTCACAAACAACTTGTTTAATCCAAACTGAAAGTATTATCAGAAAACCTACTCAAACTTTTCCTATACTGGTGTTATACAGACAATGTATTTCGAGTATTGAAACGTGGGTCTCCAGAAATATGAATAATTCGTATGTGTTAGCACATTTCTAGGGCACTACGCAAGTCTAGGCCCTATCTGTAGTCGAAAAGTCAGCCTAGCGATAATTTAAAGAAGATTAAGACGCGGATAAAGCTAAGCGGGTCGGCTGTAAGTTTCAAAGTTTAATTTTGGCTCGCCCTATCTCGGTATAATATTTTAACTCAAGACCTCCGGTTCAGTTGGCGTGGGCCACTCCGCGATATTGCCTCCTCGTGACCCCGTTCTGAGGGGTTCCCTTATTACTCCGCAACACCGACGCGAGCCAACCGTAATATTAGATAGCGAATTGATGTGCCGGAAGTGGTCTTTGAACGAACACTTGACGAAAACGCTAATAATATTATGACCGTAAGGAAAGAGCGATTTAATGTAGCCAATTTTATTTCGTCGCAATTATTTTTTAATTCAAAACTGGCCAGCACTTGACTGCCATCCCAACTGATGGTAAGTGGCGATGCAGCCTTTGATGGTAAGCGCGCTAACTCAGTAAAAACCTATTCACTCTTGTCTTGAAAACAATTATATTTAATTTATATTATATTGTAATTTATTTACACACTTCTATCGACTTTCGTATACTCATGCATGCATCAGATTTCGAACTCAAAATAGCCGCATATTTCATACGCGCGGTTGGGCCACGCAACACTGTTGCACGAATGGGCAGGTCCGTCCGAGTAAGTACCACGACCTCACAGAAGACCGACGTGAAGTGGAATTGTTACACTTCTGCGTTTCGTCCGTGAGTGAGGTAGCCGAGGCAAACTTTAATGAAAGGTGGCATCGCATCTGCAACCCCACGGGTGCGGGTGTTGCAAATGTCAGTGGGCGGCGATTATCACTTAACATCAGGTGATCCGCAACTTCGCTTGCCACCGTCTCATATAAAAAAGTCAGTTACTATAATCCATATAGCTATTATCAATAACATTCAATCAGAAATTGCCTTTATCAAACAAAACGTAAGGCCGACACTGCAGAAAAATCTAAAATTTTATCACCTCTTATAAGATTTAGATTACAGTGACGTAGAAGAATTTGAAACAAATTCTGACGTAATGTCCACTTACTTATTTCCACGTCGTTCTCACTATCGGCTTTAGCCAAATTGTTGTTCCTGTCATCGCTTCGTAGAGCCATCATCATATCAATGAAATCACCGCGTTTCTCCTGTACACCTGCAAGTAGAAATGTACATCACTACATAGTGTAAAACAAAGTCGCCCCGCTGTCTGTCTGTCCCTATGTATTAGATTTTTAAAACTACGCAACGGATCTTAATGCGGTTTTTTACTAGATAGTATGATTCAAGAGGAAGGTTTATATGTATAATACATTACACCCGTGCGCAGCCGGGGCGGGTCGCTAGTAATATATATAATGTATGTATTATGATGACTCCGTGGCGCAGTTAGCAAGGTATTGGCTCCGGCGCCGGGGTTCGTGGATTCGATTCCCAAACGGAAGAACAATCAGTGCGACCCACAGATAGCTGTTTCGCATGTGGATGTATGTCCACGTGGACTTTATGTTTGTTACGTTGTCCTTACAACACAGGACATGATACCATGATTTAGAAACTTTCTAGAGATAAAGTACCAAATCGCTTCCTCATACTTCAGCACCCAAATAGTTAAAAATTCACTGCGTACAGTGCCTTAATGCGTCTTGGCGCGAATTCCGAAGACGTGGTTTCGATTCCCACAGCGGCGAAAAACTTTTCGTTTCTAGTTTTCTACAAATTTTATTTTAATCTTAAGAGCAGAGATTAGCACAATAAAATTTTAAATACTACAGTACCATTTTTTGCTTTTTCATTTTTAAAACGGAATTTCGGATTTTGTTTTGCATCTACGTCAAATCACTACTCCCAGGGTCGACTGGAAGATAATGCTTATTAGCATTAACTTTGCCTTTTGTTTGCCCTTATGTTGGGATGTAAACACTATTTTTCAAATAAATAAATATGAAGAAAGGTGTAAAAATATTCACTAGCGGCTATTCGTTGCGTTGTGTTACTTAAAGTTTCCTATGGTTTAAGTTTCTTTAGTAAGTAGTAAAGTTTTTATCTGAAAAGTTTCCAAGCAAGCAGACAATTCGACTGATGTTAAGCGATTACCGCTGCGATATCTCTACAGTACCTGAGAAACTAGAGTTACGTTGCAACGTTTAGAAAATAAATTACCTCATTTTTTACCAACAAGTATAATACCTCAGGCGTCATATTTATTTATTTACTATATCGGAGACTAACGGGACAAAAACAAAATGAAAATAAAAATTAACATAAGCGTGCAGACGTTTACAGGTGCTACCTTAACTATCGTCTCACTGAGAAGAAGTTCGTTATTAGTTGTTACAATTATGGAGGACACATTACTTAATTTAAATTTTAACAACGCAAAAAAGAAAAGAAAAAATTACAATCATGCGTTATTGTAGATATAGAACAATAAAAATACTGAAACACAAGAGAGTGAGTATTACAATTGAGGGTAAAATATTTATTGTACATAAGCATTTTGATAGAGGTTTTGTTGGCTGAGCGGGAGCAAGGATACTTATATAAATTACTCAGCATTTTATTGTGGAGGATACACATTCATATGGAGTTTATGTTACTTTCCTGGACGATCCTACCCATTGGTGCAAAACAAAAATTTTAAAGACAAAGAAGATTATAAGTGTGGTTCCAAACCATTTTCCCTGGCTCGGAGTACACTGGTGACGATGTTGTAGAAAAAGTCGTGGGTCTTCTTCGGGATGATCCTCATCCGGAAGAACAGCACAAATGCCGGCCAGAACTGACGCATGGTCCTGCAAAATTTTAATTCCCGATTAGTACATAGAACGAAACTTAATGGGTGGTCAATCGTGACTTATTTTCCGCTTTCTAAAATTTCTGTTCAAATGTTCTCAAAAACTGGCCAAGTGCGAGTCGGACTCGCGCATCAAGGCTTCCGTACCACTATCTATAAGAAACTAATTGATAAGTACTTATAGGTTGCCTAGCAACCGCCTTCAGTTTGTTGTATGGCAGTACCCTTTAATATTTTTTTATTTATTCTGTTTAGTATTTATTGTTATAGTGGCAACAAAAAAACATCATCTGTGAAAAATACTGTCTAACTATCACGGTTCACGATAGGTACAGCCTGGTGACAGACGGACAGACAGACAAACAGCGGAGTCTTAGTAACACGGTCCCGTTTTACACTTAGAGTACGGAAACCTAAATAGACGCATCCTTCTTCTATTCTTTCGCAGTTCGGTTTTTAAAATTATACTTATGTTGGCGCGTTTGGAAAAAAAAATAAGTGCAAAATTTTTTAATGAGTACCCTATCCGACGGCCAAAAAGCGACACGATGAAGGTGGTTGCAAAGCGACTAACTTCACAGTATTACCATGGCAACCAATAACAACAACATACTTTCTTTTTTATTTTGTTTGTTACTTCGGAACTCCATTGTTCATAAACCGATTAAAAAAAAAACAATTTAAAAAAATATATGGGATGTCAATCATTATTTATGAAGTTTATTTTGATATACCCTCAATGTTTGCTAAAAATATTAAATTTATAGTTTTAGGAGGACCAGTTAAATAATTTCAATATACAATGCAGTTCTACTATTCTACTAATATGCAAAAATCGAGATACTTACTTCTCAAATATATTGAATGGAGTCATTTCATAAAAAGCTTGTAAGGCCACTGCAAAGGGGTCGTTCGGGTTATCCATGACACTGCTTTTCAAGCCAAAGGCACATGGAACGATAGCATCTGCTGTGTAACCTCCAACCAGCTTCTCCGAGTCTACGACGGCTACTCCATTTGTATCTCCTCGATTCTTCTCTCTTTCGATCACATCACCATTGATGGCGCCTATATCATCTTTGGTTACGTTTATGGCATTCGTCACGAGCTCGCGAACGCGGTGAACGAATTCTTTCGCAGTGTTTTCTATCAGCGGGAACATTCCTCTCAATTTGTTTGGACTAAAACGGAAAGCTTTGATTACATCAAATAAACTGAAACAATTTTATTTTGTGCAAAATCCCTTTCTTGTTTTTTTTAGTTATTAACTATTAATTAACTATTAATTAAAAATGTCCAGAAACTACTCGTAGCATTAAAAACAAATTAATAACTCTCAATTAGTTACAAGATGAGCCATGACAATTATTAAAATGGTGGGCTATTAAAAATTAAACGTCTTAATGGAACAATCTTTATTTATCGAAATAGCCATTTTGTCATTTTAAAGTTAAAGCTATAAAATATTTTCAAATTCTACACAAGACGACCATCATAATAACTAAAACTCACTTGTGTTAAAAACAATGACTTGTATTCCGTTATAGTGAATTAAAAATAAATCAGGTATCACTTCATCCGCTGTCTCAATCAATCTTGTAGAACTTCCAACGTGATATCATCTAATAACAAGATAGCGGTGCGTTTCGCACAAACGATGAGTCCCTAAGGATGCAATCAGAGTAACCTCGCTCGGTATTGATATGAGGAGACCATATATGGAAATTTCCTACGCCGCGCGCGCGGTCAACAAAGGGCGCGGCGTAGGAAAGAGAGGACATACTCGAAGCAGCGAGAAGGCAAGCGCCGGCGCCGGCCGGCGGCCAACAGTGCCATCACGTCCGCGACGGCGAATGCATGTCTCAGCTTCCTTACGATATAGTTACGCGAGTGCTTATACACAGCTTATTGTTTTTATGTTTTTATCGCCTTTCCTTTGTTTCTTGCCTCTATTCTAACTTTCTATTTCTCTTGTGCTCACGTCTGTACTTCGCTTGTGCTCTGTTTGAACTTTAAATACATAGTGTGGACTTATTTACGTAGTTGTTATTTGCCACGCCCGCTTACCACACTATACTGGTGACCCCGACGTTGGACAATATCGACTGTTATTTACGAGTGAACAACGCAAAACACAATGGAAGCAAATAGATCCGGTAAAGTAATAAGCGGCAGACCTACAGGCATCGAAACCGACAACATCGATAACGGTTCAGTGTTTAAAGTTTCTGTACGCGCGCCGCCATTTTGGCCAGAGGAACCCGCCTTATGGTTCTCGCAAATGGAGGCACAATTTTCCTTGTCTGGAATCACGAGTGACTCAACAAAGTTTAATTATGTAATTGGGCAATTGGAACATCAATATGCTGTGATAGTAAAAGAAATTATTAATAATCCTCCAGCGGAAAATAAATATTTAGAACTGAAAAACGAGCTTATAGTGAGATTGTCAGCTTCGCAAGAAAAAAAGCTGTTGCAACTGCTGAAACACGAGGAACTAGGTGAGAGGAAACCATCACAATTTTTGCGACATTTGAGGACGCTAGCCGGTAAAACTGTGACGGAAGAATTTCTGAAAACAGTGTGGACCAGCCGGTTACCTACCAGTTTACAGACCGTTATCGCGTCGCAACCTAGTGCCACGTTGAATGAGTTGGCCGACCTAGCGGACAAGGTACATGACATAGTACCACAGGCACCTCAGGTTTGTGCGTTAGGTTGTAGAAGCTACATTACGGAGATGGCAAAGCAAATGGCAGAATTAACACGAGAAATAGCTTCACTAAAAGTCCAGTACCACGCGCAGCCATCAAGATCACACAGCAGAGACGGTGGTAGTCGTAGAAGAAGCAGAACACCCTTCCGTCGTCGAGATCGATCGTCATCCAAGCCGAGGGATACAACAATATGCTGGTATCACAACAGATTTGGTGACAAAGCAAGCCGCTGCACCAGGCCTTGCAGCCACCCTAAGGCGGAAAACTTCAACGGCAGCCGGAACTAGCGGCCTACGACTGCCAATCAAAACCGGGCCGCCTCTTCGTAGTGGACAACACTTCTAAGGTACTTTTCCTAGTTGACACAGGATCAGATTTGTGCGTGTATCCGCGCACAGCGCTTAGAGGGCACCGTACGAAGACTAATTATGAATTGTTTGCAGCAAATGGGACAATTATAAACACTTACGGCTCGGTTCGCTTGGAGCTTAATCTGGGTTTACGCCGAGCGTTCACCTGGAACTTCGTGGTTGCTGACGTGGCAAGAGCGATCATAGGCGTTGACTTTCTATCACACTATAATATACTAGTTGATTGCAGAAACCAGCGCCTGATTGACAACCACACCTCGCTCACCGTTAATGTGCCAGCCCAACCTGGTATAGAGGCTATATCTTCGGTGAAGGTGACAATTGGGGACTCCAGGTATTTAGAAATATTACGCAACTACCCACATATCACTCGCCCTTCAGGCACACCTACGGAAGTCAAGCATAATACTATGCACCATATCCGCACCACGCCTGGACCGCCCGTATCTAGTAGACCTCGACGCCTGCCACCAGATCGTCTCAAGATCGCACAGAAGGAGTTTGAGGCTATGTCGCCCGTACTATCCCAGATAAATACCCTATTCGGCATATACAGGACTTTGCTCAACAATTATCTGGGAGTAAAGTTTTCTCCAAAGTGGATCTGGTCAAAGCATATAACCAGATTCCGGTCCACTCAGCTGATATACCCAAGACAGCTATTATAACACCGTTCGGACTGTTTCAGTTCCCATACATGATGTATGGACTCCGGAACGCGGCACAGACGTTCCAGCGCTTTATAGACGAAGCACTCAGAGGCATGGACAACTGTTACGGCTACCTGGACGACATCCTGATCTTTTCCGCAACTGAAGAAGAACACCAGCAACATGTCTGTGAGTTATTCCAACGATTAACAGACTACGGAATACTAATCAACGCCGCTAAATGTGAATTCGGAGTATCGACCATCACTTTCCTTGGGCATGAAGTATCATCTGAAGGCATTCGACCATTACCGTCAAAGGTGCAGGCCATTTTGAAATATCCCATCCCCAAGACAGTGAAGGAGCTCCGAAGGTTTCTGGGGATGTTCAACTTTTACCGCAGATTCGTACCAGGTGCATCAGCTCTACAATCACCGCTGAACCTAGTACTTAGCGGACCTAAGAAGAAGGCCTCACAGGAGATTGACATGACGAAGGAGATGTCGGAAGCATTTGAAGCATGCAAGGAAGGTTTGTCCCACGCAGCCAATCTAGCACATCCGAATCCTGATGCTGAACTTGCCATCCACACCGACGCATCAGACGTTTCAATTGGTGCAGTACTACAGCAGCGTGTAAATCGTGGATCCTGGGAACCCCTGGCATTCTTCTCCCGGCGGCTTAAGCCAGCGCAAAAGAAATACAGCCCTTATGACAGAGAGCTATTAGCCATATACGAGGCTATACGGCATTTCCGCCACATGGTCGAAGCCAGGGCATTTATCATATATACAGACCACAAACCTCTAACGTACGCATTCCACTCCGCAAGAGAAAAATGTTCCCCGAGACAGTTTCGTTACTTGGATTTTATATCACAATTTAGCACCGACATACAGTACATAGCGGGAAAAGACAATGTCGTAGCGGACGCGCTATCCAGAGTGGAGGAGATTCGCAAGCCCATAGATTACGAAGCTTTGGCACAATCTCAGAAAATGGATCTTGAAATGAATGACCTGATGCAGCACGGATCTGGACTCAATTTAAAGAGGATCCAACTACCTGATGTCAACTCTTTTATATATTGCGACATATCAACAGCAAACGCAAGGCCATATGTGACTGATGCTTTTCGAAAACTAGTTTTCAACGCAATCCACGGACTGAGCCATCCCGGTGCCAAGGCGACAACTAAAATGGTGACGCAAAGATTCGTTTGGCCAGGAATCAAAAGAGATTGCCGTCAGTGGGCAAAAGAATGCGCAGATTGCCAAAGAAACAAAATTTCACGCCATACCACATCACCCATATCTCCATTTCCCACTCCTTCCTCAAGATTTTCCCATGTCCATATGGACATAGTAGGGCCATTACCATATTCTTTTGGTTACAGGTACTGCCTCACGGTCATCGATCGTTTCACACGTTGGCCTGAGGCATATCCACTGCCGGACATCACTGCAGAGTCCTGCGCACGAGCATTTGTTGGGGGTTGGGTAGCCCGCTTTGGCTGCCCGAACAAGATCACCACTGACAGGGGCGCACAGTTCACGTCCGAGCTGTTCCGCGCCGTGTCAGCAATCATCGGCTCCGAGCACCGTCCGACTACGTCGTACCACCCAGCATGTAATGGGATGGTCGAGCGGCTTCACCGGCAATTGAAGGCAGCAATTATGTGCCATACCAACACTCACTGGACTGAAGTCCTACCCTTAGTGCTGCTGGGCATCCGCAGCGCCTGGAAGGACGACGTGCAATGTTCAGCGGCAGAACTGGTTTATGGGGAGCCACTACGCCTGCCTGGTGAGTTCTTTGAGCCTACGAAGGACACTACCGTCGACTACGCAGACTTCGCAGCCAGACTACGGGACCACATATCGAAGTTGACTCCTGTACCAGGTACTCGACACGCTCAAAAGCCTTTCTACATCCCCAAAGACCTCAACTACGCTGACTACGTGTTTCTTCGACAAGGACCAGCAAAGCGAGCATTAGATTCTCCATACACAGGCCCTTACAAAGTCATACAAAGAGGCAACAAACCTTTAAGATCGACATGCTACTAAAAAAACAAGCAGTGGTCGATCAGTACGATTCCCTGATTACTATCGACCGTAGCAAGCAACGGTCTCGGTGGGGGAGTGTGAGGAGACCATATATGGAAATTTCCTACGCCGCGCGCGCGGTCAACAAAGGGCGCGGCGTAGGTAAGAGAGGACATACTCGAAGCAGCGAGAAGGCAAGCGCCGGCGCCGGCCGGCGGCCAACAGTGCCATCACGTCCGCGACGGCGAATGCATGTCTCAGCTTCCTTACGATATAGTTACGCGAGTGCTTATACACAGCTTATTGTTTTTATGTTTTTATCGCCTTTCCTTTGTTTCTTGCCTCTATTCTAACTTTCTATTTCTCTTGTGCTCACGTCTGTACTTCGCTTGTGCTCTGTTTGAACTTTAAATACATAGTGTGGACTTATTTACGTAGTTGTTATTTGCCACGCCCGCTTACCACACTATAGATAGATCGAGTGTCGAGTAAATCCGATCCATGCTGAATTCAATTCAATCAACTGCTGAGTAATTGGCAAGAAGGAAATATATGTAGGACGGTCGGCGAAGTAACCATTGTCGTATGACTACATAATTAATTAAAACTCGCATTCCCTTATGAAAACCTATATTCGGAACAAAGGAATCTTATGACACAAAAAGCTCCCGAAGCCATTGTGAGATTACTCTAATTAAAATGCGTAGGTGGAATTATTTTTGGCTGATGCTTTAGAAATATATTATGGCAGGTTATGTATCGGTCTGGTCCTTACTATTCTATGCACAGTATACAAGCATAGCTATCGCCAGTTACAATGAAGGGAAGAACATTGAGAGTTCTTTAATCTGAGATTCAAGGTTAAATAACACACATATTATTAAGGTCGAGGGAGTGAAAACTCATCCCTTACAATTGTATCATCTGGAAACGTAATGTCAAGTATATACACATACATAAGTTATTAAGATCAAAATCTCACAAAGATCAAGATGTTTGTGGGGGCCCCTCCTTTGTGGGGGCCCCTCCTTTGTTGGAGCCCCTCCTTTGTGGGAGCCCCTCCTTTGTGGGAGCCCCTCCTTTGTGGGAGCCCCTCCTTTGTGGCGGTCCTGGTGCTGTAGCCCCGGTTACCCTAACCTAAATCCGGCCGTGACTACTTACGAGAATATTGGCGAAATCTTGGCCCTCAGCCGCTTCCACTCGTTGCCTCTGAGGAAGAGGACGGACCCAGCGAGGGGGTCGACCTCCTTGTTGAAGAAAAACCCCCGATCCGTGAAGTGCTGGAAGTCGTTCACGCAGATCCTCTTTATGAGCTCGGGGTCCCTCACAACCAGCGTACGCTGATAGAACTGATGGCAACCTGTTATATCGGGATAAAATAAATTGATTGGTAAGTGGTAGATTTAAATACATCCTAAAGTAATGGCAATGTTTTTTTAAAAAAAAAAATACTGATTTACGTGCTTGGCGAGAAAGGCAAATACCGTGAGCAACTTCAGTATTAGAGATATGTGAAATGATTTGAGTTTTTTGATAAATCCACCATGATATACTGGAATGACATAGCTATATCCACAAATATGTGGCTAGGGTGCTGATTAGGAATGTTCTAACTGTAACTTCTTCTAATGCGGGTGTAATTTATAGCAGCGTTTAGGTTTTTAATGGCAGCCCAAATGTATATCAGTAATCTTAAGCCCACATTTCGGTCATGTGTTCAAATATTATGATTCAATAAAGTAAAAAATATAGTTAATATTTCTCAAAGTTGTTTTTGTCGGTACGCCAGAACTTCTATAATTATTCATCAAATTTTATGATTCAAACATTTTATGATTCAACACATATTTGTCGCCATTGAAGAAAATTAAACAAATAGTACAAAGTCCATGTTTTCAGAAAAAAAAATTATAAAGAATGCGTGATAGCGTAATATAGCGTTTAAATTAAAGATAGCGAAGTAGAATTAAAAACTGTTACACTTTTCATTTTACCGATCCGTAATAGCTCAGTCAATGTCTGGGCACTCGTCTTTAATTCAATATACTCGAGCAACCTGAGTTCAATTCCTAGTCAACAGGCACCAATGAAAATGTTAATTTTAAGTGCTGACTTGTCACGTGCTCAGCGGTGTAGGAACATTGTGAGAAAACCTGCATATTTTCAAAACAAAAATACTACATTTCAGAGATATGTGAAGTCCGCCAATCCGAATCCGAAGTGGGGCCGCGTGGTGTACTATGCCCTGATACCCTCTATACGGAGGAGGCCTTTGCCCAGTAATAGGGCATGTATAGGCTGTATCATGTATAGATTACTTTACTTTTCATTTATTAATACATATTACCATATGACTGGTCGCGGTAATGTGTGAACATTTCATATCAGGTCAACTAGTTGATATATCATCACTACGTAGTATAAAACAAAGTCGTACCGCTGTCTGTCTATCCCTATGTATGCTTAAATCTTTAAAACTACGCAAGGAATCTTGATGCGGTTTGTTTTACTAGATAGAGTGTTTCAAGAGGAAGGTTTATAGGTATAATGCATTTCACCCGTGCAAAGCCCCGGCTAGTCGCTAGTAGTTTAATAATCGACCTTTACATTATCTTCAAACATTAAAATTTATTCCATATTTTTCAGATGAAGCGGCAAACGGCCCGATGATTTATACCATTGCAAAACCAAAGATAAACAATTAAAACAAAAAACAAACCAACGGTTAACACTGTCAATATTTATTATTCTTTTTATTTTTATTTTTTTTAAACATTGCCCTCACTTTAGGATAAACATTATCAACAATATAACATATAGTTTTTACAAACATAAATTTCACATGGACAAACACCCAGATGCGAAACAACTATATGTGGGTCGCACAAATAGTTGTCCCGTGTGGGAATCGAACCCACGACCCCCGACGCCGAAGCCAATACCTTGGCAACAACGCCACGGAGTCATCATTATTATGCTATACCTGGTTTTAAGGTTATCTGTCATGTGAAAATTTGTCAAGCGAGCAAGCACTTCACCTGATGTTTAGTGTTACTGCCACCCATGGATATGTACAACACAAGGGCTGGCAGATGCGTTGAAAATCTTTAATAGGAATCACGAAAGTATAAAATTATTGTCTGTCGCGTGTAGCGTTTCGCGGACAACCGTTTTATTAATACAGCACAATCGCTTCGTTTTCGTCTACGTTAGGTAACGGTAACCAGTTTATGCGCAAGCGCGCAACCGACTTGTTTTTTAACGGTTATAGTCCGAATACGTTCGCAGTATGTTTATTATTTTTGTATAAATTAACATTGCCCCATTTTATTTAGTCCTTTCGAAGTTATACTTTATTTGGCGCGTTTGGAAAAATTGTCAGAGTAAAATTTTTACTATACGCGCACACCGACATGATGAAGTTAGTTGCCAAGCAATACCGTGAAATTAGTTGAGAGTCAACCAACCTGACGGCATTACCATGGCAACCAATAACAACTTTTTGATATTTATCAATGATTCCAAGTTAGTTATTGAAATAAACCGTTATCAATTACATTTAATGTCTTTACGCCAAAGAAGTATAATCTCTTACGAGCATTACATAGTCATAGAACACATACTTTTTTATGTAATGTTTTGCTGGTGACGAGGTTGACGGTAGCGAATCATATTATTTCATTTAGACTGGATATCAAAAATTGGCATGTTTATGATAGTGTTGTGTAAGTTAGTTATTACTTTCATAAACTATTATTAATGTTTATTTTTAATCAGTTACCGCATAGTAATGATGACTCCATGGCGCAGTCGCCAAGGTATCGGCTTCGGCGTCGGGGGTCGTGGGTTCGATTCCCACACGGGACAACTATTTGTGTGACCCACAGATAGTTGTATTGCATCTGTGTGTTTATCCGCGTGAAATTTATGTTTGCAAAACGTCCTTACAACACAGGATAATGTTATCCCAAAGTAAGGGAAATATTTTTAAAAATAAGAAAAAAAAAATGTCATGATCGGTCATGATTCATCATGATAGCTATACTAATTTACAGTAAGTAACCAACGAAAGTTACGACTAGACTTTTTAACACCAAAGACCATCGACTTGTTGACTCAGTATTACGAACGCAAACTTAAACATTTCAAAGCAAAAGAAAATTTCCCCATCGTTAAAATATTTCCGTATAATTCCTCGTTAAAACGAATTACGGTAATTTCTCAACCAAGCCGGTCGCAAAAGTAAAACGAAACAAACTTCTACCATGGGCAATAATAAAAAAAAATGCTTGAAGATACATTGAATAGCAAGGAATAATTATTAGAGACTTTAGTTGACAACGGCCTTGCACGATGATGCTTCATCACGGCAAGTTTAATGCTTGACTCGCTTTAAAATCTAAGCTTATTGACACCAGTTAAGTGATAACTGCCGACCATAGACGTTGGCAAAACCTTTTAATAAAGTAGACCTTGGCTACCTCACTCAACAGACGAAACGCATAAGTGTATTGTGATTTGTAATTTTGAAATAACTTGCATAAAATATATCGTTGCACACGGACGTGGTATTCTATTAAATTTAGTGGATATAGTGAAGTAAAAATAACAGTCTAATCTATAATTATATTCCACTGCTGGGTAAATGCCTCCTCTGTGACTGTATATATCTCTCTGTGAATGTATATAGTGACCCCTCTGTGGTTTGCCAGAAATTTCTATCATATGCTCAGGTACCTCATGATCTTTGTATTCACCGATGAACACGTAATAAATCAGCCGGTAGCCATTACGTTAGCATAAACTTCAGAACATCGCACGTGTGTATATATAAGTGTATTATATCCGTCGCATTTACGTTAAAAATAGTTTTTTCTATATAAGAAGAGGCATTAGAATCCCTCTCATAAACAACGGCTAAGAATAATTATTTATTTCCCGGGATAAAAATTCTTAAATTACTTTCGAAGAGCAGCAATTGAAACTGCGTCTTTTCGAAAGTTTTTCGACAAATTATTTATATAATTTAACATTTTAAGTTTCGTCATGAGTGCAGAGACTATTTAACGTGCATTAAAAATAAAGATAGTGAAAATTTAAATGTGAAAGGCGAAAACATCGTTAAAATATTCATTGTAAATAAAAAATTTCAGTACAGTAAGTACAAATACAGTAAGTAAATTATGAACACTAGATGGCGCTAGTTAAAAATCAATACAAAGAGAGTAGAAAGATGTTATGATATTTTCGCGAGGTATTGGCAGATTCGAATTCCGTTTATTTATGACAAAATCACATTTTAAGTTTTATCGTTCAGTGTTGCGACTAACGCTAAAAATAAAATTAATCATAAATAGTAATATTCATTGCTAGAATAATTATTTATTTTTAAAAATATTTCACGTACAAGTCAGAGAATGGTCAAGAGACACATTGAGTAGTTTGGCGTACAATCGTAAACAGCCCGGATACGAGGTAGCTTTTTAGAATAATTTTCGTCTGATCTTCCAGTGGTGACGTGAGCGATTTTTTTGTGCCCAAATTCTCACTTTTGACGGCGAGTTCATTTTATTTTTGTTAGTAGTTATATCATTGCGAAAGTATACATTTAAATAATGAGATAAAGGAATTTAAATAATAGGTATCTGACCGACAACTTAAGTTGTTAAGTTAACATTTAGTAAAATATTCATTATTATTAAAATGCAATGGTTTTAATAAAGAGAAATCTCGAATAAGTCGACGAAGACGATTTTATTCATGAATTTAATTTTAAACTTACTTTTCACGCGAGCTCGCGGAAATGTGTGAAGCGGGTTTTATTAAACCTCCCTTCCCATATTCCACGCCATTTTCTTTTGTCTGTTAGAAAATCACTTTACCGCTAAGCAAAAACATCGTCCTATATTGTTATAAAAATATCATAACAACAAAACTTTGCTTTCAAGCAAGTAATAATAATAGAATCAAGTTTTCACTAACAACTAATACCAACAACGGCAATCCTGCCCAGTAATACTACGCTAACTTTTTATGGGTAAAGGTCTTAAAACGTTTTCAAACGTCCAATAAATCTCCTTTGTTTTGTTTTCTCTTACTCTGGTTTTTATTGATCCTTCTCTTGCCATATACAGGAAAGACCATATACAAAAAAATCATAACGACAATATTTATAAATATTTTGTAAAAGTAAAGTAAAGTATCAGCCTATACATGTCCCACTGCTGGGCAAAGGCCTCCTCTGTACAGAGGGTATGAGGGCATAGTCCACCACGCGGCCCCACTGGCAAACTTCACATATCTTCGAAATATTTTTTTATCGTTTATTTATTTGTATTCAATTAAAAAACATTATATAAACAAATTGAATTTATTACGTATGTTTATGCCTCTGTTGTGGTCATATCATATAGTGTCATGTATAGCAGGCTAGTTTCGGTCGGGACTCAATTTCGTCCTAACCGTGGCTGAAGCCGAAATGACCGCCGGAACCGAAACTTCTATCGGTGTTCAACTATAATATTCGGGTGTCACCGCAGTCTGCCACCTGACCTGCGTTGTGTGTGTTATGAAGTGTTTAAATATTAAACAGTTTTGAAAATGTCAACAATTTGGTAAAGAAATGAATTGACATTTTCCGATATTACAATGAAGGGCTTTTTGGGAAGGTGTACTTTTTACCCCTTGATAAGCGAAACAACTTATACCACGGGTGCGTGGGTGGGGCAGTAGTTAAGCTAGCTAGCTAAGGTTTTTGTGTTAACCACAGGTAATTAATTGTCCCTGATCTCGGCGATTATTCCCAAGGAGGATTGATGACAGGCAGATGACCTGCCGTAATAAACCTAGCCAATGGCACTAGAACAACGATTCGAAATATCTGATAGCAAATAGTGATGTATTTGGTGATAGGCGCTTTAGCTCAGTAAATGGCTAATTGTTCATCACCCAAATGTCCGTATTAATATTATAAACGCGATAGTTTGTATGTATGGATGAATTTTTGTCTCTCTTTCACGCAAATACTACTGAATGGATTTTATTGAAACCTTACAATAATATAGATTATACATCAAAAGACACATAGGCTATAATTTATAAAGATATTGTGTGAATTGTCCAAAATATTGTAATTGTATAATGGAAATGTTTATCTTAAATAGTCCTACTATTTTTCCCAGGCAACATAAAGCAAACCCTGGTATATAAAGATAAATTTTTATATATATCTGTCTTTCTGTCTGAATGTTACGCCTTCAGCCTATTATACCCATAGTTTCGGGTAGCAGATAGTAGTTAATAACACTCACCTAAAAACCTCTCGTTTCTGTATGTGTCGTAGATCCTCTTGAAGCACATTCCGCCTTGCTCCTTGAAAGCCACCACGGACTTAATATGGCCGACCAGGGGCCACGCCGGGGGCGAAAACACACCCCTTCTGACCCAATAGTCGTGGTCATATGTGAGCACGGCAAGCGCCACGGCCACGGAGAGGGATCCAGCGAACATGTACCATAAGACCACGCTGCCGAAGGTGCAAAATTGAACGGCCACCGACAGGAGCAGCACTGTCCGTATCACGGAGCGTTTGAATCCGAACATTTTGACACGTTCACATCACATTCACAGCATGTTCCTCTCCGACTAAAGCTGATTTTTTACTGCGAAAGAGCGTCGATCTCTTTATCCCTGCCCATCGTCGTTGATCGACATTCTTAATACTAGAAGGTTTGCGTTTATGAAGATGCGACCTCGCCTTAAAACTGGTTTAATTTTTCTTCTCATCGGATAGAACACAGAAGTATGCAGTTACTTCGGTATTCTATGACGCCCTGATACTTCCTCGGTCGAATTGACACATTCCTGCACCAGAAGAATCTGCTGAGTGATTTGTGCCTAAGATGTATAAGATTTGTGCTTAATCTTAACTTTATATTCTATACATATAAAGATTATCGTAATAATGAATAGTATACGATATGAAATTAATTTGAACGATTTCTTATGAATTTAATCTAATCAATTATTATTTGAAAATTTCAATGTAAGAATGATCTATACCCTAGAAAGCAAAACACACATTCAGCCCAAAAAAAAATCGATTAATTATCAACATTTGAATGATAAAAATAAGAACTCATGCAAGCGCAGTGTATCACAGTTATTTTGCTTCTGTTATATTGTCAGAAACATAGAAGGAAACTTATCAATTTCGATGATATCGAACTAAACAAAGTGAGATATGAATTTGATGCGTCGCCAATCACATACATCATATATTTAGACACCAAATTACTCCTCGTCTTGTAGACAACAAAGGTGATTATGTTTTGACAGAATCACCACATAACTTATCAGGATACGATGAACAGAGCAAAGCGAGATGGTATTTTATTCTAATACCTCGTTAGTCACATATCGCGAGACCCGCTAGTAAGAACGCACGGCATTTTGCGCGACGGCAGGTCACGATAGTGAGGTCCGCGGTTCGAAATCGCTCGCCGAGAACGGCGCGGGCGCACTGAACGCTCGGGCAGACGAAACCTGTGAATCGGCGCCGGTGCTGTAACAGAGAAAGTCCGGCTAGGTCCGCGTTCCACATTCGTTTCTGCGCGTTTCGGCTCGATTTTTCGACGCTCGTCCCGCGCAAACTTTCGCCTCTCGCCTCGGATTATGCTTGTGCTGGATGAACGCTTCACGGTTGAATTTACGTCTTCAACCGACTCCGAAAAAAGTGGAGTTGTTTTTTTATGTTCGTTACCTCAGAACTAAGTCATTCGAAGTGATTTTAAAAGTTCTTTTTGGATAAGGTCCGGTTTAGCTCCTTTGTGTTATGTTAATTTTGTCGCTATTGGATTTTGAGAACTCCTGAAAATCAAATAGAAACTGTAAAATGGTTGAGATAATTGTAAGTCGGTTCTTTTTTTTTTGTTAATAAAAATGTTTTACTTGTATCACTAGCCAGTGCATTCAAGATAGAAATGTACAAGAAGATTCACAATGAAATTTTAAAAAGAAATTCTGAAATAGTCTCTTATTTTAATTTGACTTTTTGTCTTCTTATACGTGCACTTGTCCTTTTCTTTTTAATAAGTATCTAAGTTTATATATCAAATTTTTACAATTATTAATTTGAAATACATTACATCAATCATTACTAACATTTTAACAAAAAATGGTGTAATTTTACGTACTTCATAATTGTACAAAATCTGGTATGGATTATAATAATTATTATTACATTGTATATATTTTTATACCTTACTTCATCAATCTTAACTGGTTTTTGTCTTAGTAATACTGAAAGCTGAAAAATGTATAAATAGCCTCAATATATTATTTTCTTTTTATTTTATAAATCTTTTAAAAAATCGTAAAGATTCAATCATAAAACGATGTATTAAAAATAAGTATACAATATATGTACATACCTATTCAAAAATATGTTATATACATACATATAACTTCAAAATGTAGTATAATAAATGTTAACCTCTGATTTTTTCATTTCTGTTTACTTCATGGGCAAATTATGTATTAGGCCTCACATTAAACATCGGTATTATTTGCAAAAACATCGTTATAACAGTAGTCGTCCAAACATTTCTGGTTCTAGATATCCTTCTCCACTATAAGGCTAAAAGATGCGATTTAATTTCCAATACTTTACTCCTAAGTCCGGCCCTGCGCATTGGTAACATTTCATTGCATCACTGTCCTAGGTGACACTAGCGGCTGTCACCTTAGCCCAGATTCGTTTAAGTTCGTTTGAACAATGTTGAATAAAAACGTGATTATGACACCGGGCCAAGCGATGTCGTGGTACTTAACCGGACGGACCTGCCCATTCGTGACACAGTGAACAATGTTGCGTGGCCCTACCGCAGTTAAATTAATAACAAAAAAATGTTTCACAGATAATAAAAATACTACATAAAGGCACGTCTGAGGGTTCGCGTACCAGCGGAAGCTGCGTAATGGCCCTACCACATTTCACTTACAGCGTGATAATGAAATGGCATTTTCAGAATTAATTTTAGATGATGTTATACTTGAATATTTATACTCTTCATTCATTCATTCATTCATTCATTCACTCTTTTTCTCTGCACGGAGTGAGTTGTAGTTCGCTGGGTAGGGCCCACCAGATTGCACTTACAGAGTGTATGAAACATCTGTATGTAGAAACGTCTGTAGACACTCTGTTCGCGCCGTTACTGACTTGAATTCGCGCCGCGGATCGCCAGTTCGATTCCCACGCGGCCAAGTATTTTATTCCAGACTTGCGGATGATTTTCCGGATACTTTTGTTCGACGAATCGGTGAGCAGCTTTACTTTGAGTTTGTAAAATGCCTTTACAACACATCGCTATATCCCGGGGGTAATGTACCATTAAGAGTAATGTTACAAAGGGGAACGAGATCTTATTTACAATTCTTAGTACGACCGTAACGCATCAAAAGTTAGAGTATCCATTTTATTACGTAATGCCGTCGCAAACGTAACATTGGCAATTCGGTACACATCTCGGACTAGATCTTTGTTTTCCTTTACAGACTACGCTTTTGTTTGCAAAGACCTTCGTTAGCCTATTAGTTGGTTCAACATTCTCTAATGACTTTTAACTTTAAGCACTACATTTAAAGTTAAAGGCATGGATACTGCAACGGTTAAGTGTTCACAACAATCGCCACTGCTCTGCTATGGGTTCGACCCATACACGAGACGCTGCTAAAATTGGATGAAAACAACCGGCCAAATGCGAGTTGGACTCGTGCACGAAGGCTCCGTAGAATTACGTATAAAAAAGGCAAAGTTTTTGTTGTATGGGAGCTCCACTTAAGTATTTTTTATTCTGTTTTTTAGTTTTTGTCGTTATAGCGGCAAAAGAATTACATCATCTGAGAAAATTTCAACTGCATGGTGATAGACAGACAGATAGCGGAGCCTTAGTAATATGATCCCTTTTTAGCCTTTAGATACTGAACCTTAAAAAAAGACCTATAAAAGAGTATTTAAATTGTGCATGTTTTACATTACACTATGTTTTTGAAGCGAAACTTTTTTTAAGATCGTTATGATTTGATACTCGATGTAGCTAAATCACGACAAAGAGACAAACACGTAAATGTGTATGATTAAAACGGAGACAATGTGATAGAATACATCACAAAGTACTTATTTTAAATTCTTGTTTTCTTCCCTGCTTCCCCAATCTCATCTACTAATTCGATTTATGCTTGCGATTAGTTCTTATGTGAATAATACTATGTGTCTGTTCATAAATGATGGAGTTATGAGGTAATAAATATAAATATAATAAAACCTCTTGAGAACCACCACCCTTTTTGAAGTTGACTTTAAACTAAAACCTTTCAATTTCGAAACGATTTCAACATGCTGCAGTCTGTACAAGTAATTTTCTGAGTTAAGCAACTATACTGATATAAGCACCGATTGGTTAACTGTAATTCATTAAACTCTTGAAAATAATGATAATCATAATACACTCGTACGTCCCACATAACTTAAGAAGTTACAGTAATATTTTACACAACACGTTTTGCAAGTATTTCGCCCACGAAATCTCGAAATTTCGACTTGAACATATGGCACTGTGATGGAATAAGCTGCTAAAATCGAAATTTCGTTGGCTCACTTTAACATTTGACTGGTGTTATCCTGGGACAACCCGTGTATATGTATCATCTAATAGTAAAGGAACCTAAAAAAATATTTACGCTTCTTCTAATAAGTCTATTTGGAGATCTCATCGAAAATCGATCATGAAATGGCATTATCAGAATTTATTTTAGATGATTTAATACTTGAAAATTTCTTTAACTCATTTTCTCTGCACGGAGTGAGTTGTAGTTCGGTATATGCGGAGAGGCTGATGAAGTTCTGAGGTAAAGAATATAAAAAAATACAAGCCAATTGAAAACCTCCACCATTTTAGAAGTCGGTTAAAAAGAACTAAAGATAGACAAATATACAAAATCAGCCGCGGTAGCTAAAGCTACATCTTATTAGAAACTTTGCCAACCAAGCCAAGAATTATACTGATAACTTGAGCAATTCATTAATTCAATTAATTATTCATAAGTCATTTTTAAAAACAGCTAAATAGCATTCAAAGCTTAAATATCTTTTTATACAGTTATATTTGCGTATTTTATTTAAATGTAAGAGATTTAATGTAACAGATTTCAAACTGCTCGAATTCTTTGACCGCAATTTCAGATTACGACAGTATTTTTAGCATAATGTTTTTTATCATCTACTAGCTACCCGCCCCGGCTTCGCACGGGTGCAATGTATTACATATAAACCTTCATCGTGAATCACTCTATCTTTAAAAAAAACCGCATAAAGGTCAGTTGCGTAGTTTCAAAGATCTAACCATACATAGGGACGACTTTGTTTTATACTATGTAGTGATGTTAAATATTCGAATACTAATTCAATTAATCGATTACTAAATCTGTGTTAAATGCAATAATCGATATATTTACTATACTAAAAATATGCCTTTAAAGGAATACTTAAGTAGTACTTTTATTTGATAACGTTTATGAAAATTAGTCCGAAATAAATTTTA